ATACCTTAGACGTCAACCACTACTTCCTCCTACCCTCGTGTCATTTGCTTGCTCATGATGGATGATCATCATTGATGATTGCACCTCCTGAGGATGGATGCTGCAGGGTTGGGTGCTCCGTTTGGTGGCACGGGTCTGCCGACGCATCGACCAGATCAGCCAGAAGAGTAAGAGCTATGCACTCCAGATCCCATGTCGATCCTAAAATAGAGAGAGGGAGATGAGAACTTATTTGACGAAAGGCGAGCCCACAAGGCGTGGGATTAATTCGTGACAGCGTGGGCAACCTATCCGGGGCGTAAATACGAGAACTGAAAAAGATAACGCAGACACCCCTTGCGGCAAAATTATATCAACACAGAGCAAGATATATCAAACGGAACGATCCACGGTAGTGCTTGGGACCTGGTACTACTGATCTCGAGGTTGAGACGACCGACTTGTTTTCGTCACTGGAGATGTGTGTTATGGATCCCAAATTTGATTTTGGTGGCGGAGCAAGTGACAATACGCAGTTAATGTACATGTGGGTTCTGGAATCAGAAGAGAGACAAGAGATGTCAGACACAGAGAATTGGCCGAAAGAAAGACAGACGGTTGGTCCAATCGTCTTATTGCGGCCCCTGGTCGACCGATTGGGCTGGACTCGTCCACGGTCCGCCAAAATTTGAACGAGCGCTCTTTTCGTTTCTCTTCAATTTCTCCCTCCGTCTTTCATGCATGCATGAAAGACGGAGGTCTCATACATAATACTTCAGTTGAAGCTTACCTCCTTTTACTCCAGTAGTCTTCTTCATAGGCCCGTAGTCTTCCCACACAGTCGATACACCACTAAGCCCTTCCATCAATCGTGCTGCAGCTCTTTTATTCCTGGTTCTCGTGCTTCTTCGCTGTTCACTTCCTTACTATCTTGCGATCGTCTTTTGACCGATATTTGTCCGTCGCGTTCTGTTCTCTGCAGAAGATATAAACTTAGTCAACGGCTATATTTACGGAATCTGGTATTTCCCGCTCACCCCTGGCCCATTTCGTCTATCTTCTAGCTCCTTCCGGAGGATATACCTCATCTTGTATGCTGTAGTTTCCCTCTATACTCGGAAATCATTCTGACGGATCTACGGACGGGTAATATCCAAGGACGGCTTAGCCTGAGGATCATCTCTACGGAGCGCAATTAAAGACGTCTTTTGTCCGCAGTTATGAATCTGGGGCGATACGATATGGTACCGCTCTTTTGGCCTAAACGAGACTTGGACTAATATTCTCAACCAATAATTGCATATAACGGTTCCTTGTCCGGTGTGGACCCACCTTAACAGGGAAGCTCACAACTCCAGTTTTCGTTTCTTCTAGAACCCTCATGATGCACTTCCCTACGGCAGTCCTTCCGTGAATATTCTTGGTATGTCTCTCACATCAACATAGGTCAAAATAATTGAGTTTTATTCGCCTTTCTTCTAGCTGGAATTCATCCTTCATGCTAGCGTGCATCACCCTTTCAATTCTTCACCGCAGTGCAAAATACATGGTTCATTAGGGTGTATATGTAGCGATGTACACTCAACCCATCCGCCCATTATCCAGCGAGCTCTGTCGGGGGCTCCACCGTTTCAAACCGCTGCATATATGCTCTATTGTTGCGCTCCTTGGTCAGATGAGCTGTACTCAAATTTGCCTCATGTGATCAAGTAAACATTCGAAGTGCCGACAGAGGTCCCTATTGATCTTCTTTCTCCCCTACCAGCGGGAATCTTTCTTTCCATCAGTATTATCTTGCCCTCGATACCCGAGCCGTACCTATTCTGAACTCAAGGTTCACCAGAGGTAAACACCTCCTCGACCGGGGACATTTGCGTTAGTTGGTATGAAATAGGGACATTATTCTAGGCTAGCACATAACCGAGCTCGTCTACGAGGTATCGAATATCAATCAAATGCTTTTTTTCAAGGCTTATATGTCGACGTCGCGAGCATATCACTAGGCTTAGATGCGAGTAGCGTCTTCGGGCGGTAACTCTCATCATTGATGGAAAGGCTGAGTATATGTTACCTGCTCTCAATTCATGTGAAGGAGCACTTATAGCCCAGCACCAAGCGTGTTGCCATTATCTATCAAGTCGCATACTACTATGTCGGAGCCCCCAGTCTCGACAGATATTTTGTTACAGTAAATTTCATCCGCTTTTTGTTTGTTTTGTATACCACATTGAGCTTTTCCTCAGGATTGGGCCGATCGTCAATATATTGCCACCTTTTACACGCTCGCCCTTGCTGACAACCGCCTTATACAGATAATTGGGTCTTTGTTCAGCTGGTTCCTGTTCGGCGTAGCCGTTGTTCAACTATGTGTGTGTTCTCAGTTCTCACATTTGGAAGAACAACGTACGCTGATGCCACACTTCTCCGGAGATATATATCATATATCTTTTCCGCAAGATCGACGTGTCATTCAAGCTTCAGGTATGCCCAGCTTATGCTCTAAATCCTTAGACATCTGAGACACATTATTGCCAACAGTCTACGCAATATTTATTTTAGATCTCTTCCAAAGTGCAGTTGTCGCTTCCATGGCGTGGCACATTCTTTGTACCGGCTGGGGTCGCTCTTCAGTGCTAGTATACCCTGGATGGACATTCTCGGCGCTACCTTGTGTCTCCGGAATCGGTGTGATTTTTTGTATTTCTGAACGTATATCGCCATGCTAACAATATATTATCCAGTGTCTGCATGGGTTCAGGCTTTCTTTGCATGGCGTATATATGCGCTGGGTGGATGGAGAGTCGTACCTTGCTTTATCATTTTCGTCAGTGTCCTACGATACCTGCATTTTCACTGCTCTTACATCTCGCATACCAATCTTTAGATTGCATTGGCACAGTGCGGCGCCGCGTTTGCCATTGGTGTTGGAGTGTGTTCTCCTAGGTCTACATTATATGTTTCACGAGTGCCGACTCATCCGATGTATCTAGACACTATTTCTATCCAATGTAACTGAATATCACAGGGTGGACTTTTTTGCAAGGACTATCGTATGTCTATTTAATTTCACCTCTGATCGCAATGCTGACCGTTTTTATGTTTCTTAGATCTGGTTGGGGGGTGCAGCACTTGCTGACATAGTGAGAGGTTGCATCTAATACCCAGACATATGTATGCTGATCAGCATATTTCAGATTATCGCAGCATCTATGCTGTATCTCGTGAGTTCGGCCCTGTCTTGAATGGGAACAAATGATCAGCATATCTAACGGGACCACTGTGGAAGCTGAATTCTGCCAAACGCGACCACTCCTTCGGTAGGACAAACAGAACCATAAACCGACTCATTCGTCTGGCGGTTGAGACCGGGACCGTGACCGCTACATCTGCCGCTATGGAGCTTATTTTGTTCGAGGTGTTTCAATCGACAAATCTCCATTTCGCAATGTTGGTCCCCCTGTTTCGCCCTGATTCAGGTCTACTCACTCAGTGCTGTTTATAGTGCTGTCATGTTATGCAAGAGTGAGTACATTGTGAATAATGCCAAACTGAGATTACCTAACCTTCTCCCAGTCTACTCAAATGCGCTCATGACGGCTTTGAATTCCCGATCCGGGTCATCGGTCCAAGTGCTAGGACGTACTGACGTGTCGCACAACTCCGCTTTCCAGTGGCAGAGTTTCAGTTCGTCCTGTCCGGAGAACAATTCCACCTCTGCAGCGGTAATTCACATCAAAGCCACTAGCGATGCTTCCGATGGTGAGGCCCTATCCATGAAGGTGCGGGAGTCGCCTCTGGCATCTACCTTCCGGTTTTCTCCAACAGTATGCTTTACTAAGCTCAATAGTGATAACATATAGCTAATCCCAGCAGATTCAAAATGATGACTCTTGTGGAAGATTCTCATGCGGAGAAGTATGCTCTCATGATTGGAAGATTCCATGGTTTATGAAACAGTCTCCGAGATATCTAATTTGGTTTCATTCATACCAGCGGTACGCAAGGATATATTGTATTTATATTTCTCGCCTCTATGGACCTTTTGAATCGTATTTATTCAAAAATACACTACTGCCATCTTTGCTTCATAAGGATTGCATGATGGCCGTACAATGACCCCTTGTGCCATATTTGTGGTGAGAACCAAGTATTTGTACTTTAGGCTCGTTCAACGGTCATGTACTCCCTCCATGTTATGGTCTCAATGTATAGTAGCCAAGAACCATATTAACTTCGCTCAAGCCCTTTGTGCATTCGATAATGAGGTGGGTATCGCTTTATTTACGGACATTAGTATGTTCTTCACGCTGAGCTGGGATCATAAGTGGGGTTAGACCGTTCTGGAGGCTGCAATCGATCAGGAGTTATATACATATATAGGATCGGGGGCCATGAACCATGGGTAGAAGAGCTGCAACACCGCGGTTCACCCGAACCGTGGTCATTCTCGCGAGAGCGGGAGTCAGATTTGACACTCGCTCTCAGACTCATGCAGAGCCCTACCTACTACCTGCGACGGTCGGTTAATTGGACCATCGACCAGCTCTTGATTTTAAATCACGTTCAAGTCGCGGAACACGACTGTGATGAAAATTCAACCTCGCTTGTCGGAGGTTGAGCGTGTATAGAGTTATGTACTAAAACTGGGTTGTTATATCTTTAGGATGTTGGTCAGCTTCTGAGGATAAGACCGAGTGCTGTTAAATGACAATAAGGATGCAGCGGGAGGTTCGAGCCCACATCCTATATCTTGGTCACAAGTGCCGCTTGTATTTCCAGGCCCTCCTCAGATCGTGCTTTCGTCTTGCCTAGTAGCACGTCTATCTCCTGCTTACTTGACGATGAAATCTCATCTCTCGTCATTTCTCCTTTCCATTCTCATGCTGTATCATTTCGTTTGCTCGACTTCAGGAACACTATACCTGAGTCCTTTGCTTCTTCCCTGGTCCAAACGCTACGATTTCATTATAGTCGGAGGTCAGCACTTTTCTCGTAGCATTTGTCCAGTCAGTTTGTGGTGATATACATTGTTTACAGGTGGCGCTGGTGGAAGTGTAATAGCAAATCGTTTGACAGAGGATCCCGGTACCAACGTTCTGGTCATCGAAGCAGGCTCCAGGTACACCTGTATTCTCCTTTTTACGATCGGATGCTCAGACTGGCATATTTGAATAGCGACTTCGGGAACCTTGAAATTGAGGTTCCATCGTTTGCATCACGTCTTACCGGCTCTCAGTTCGTGAGTATTTTACGTCGCGCATCTTGTGTGGTCTGAAAACTCGCAGCTCTTATTAAAGTACTGAGTTGTGATTCTCACTTCAGGATTGGAACTTCACTACCTTGCCTCAGCCTGGTCTCGATGGTCGTTCCATTGCATACGCTCGTGGCTTCGTCCTCGGGGGATCTACCGCTATTAGTGAGGCATATTTTGTCTACATGGTATCATTCAAACGCTGATTCTGGGTACACTTTTTCTTGTTATTGATTTAAGATGTGATGGCGTTTTGTAGGGGCTCTAGAGACGACTTTGATCGCTGGTCTGAGGTCACGGAGGATAGTGGATGGACATGGGAGTCGCTACAGCCATTCATGAAGAAGGTGTGTTGAGATGTTCACCTTATCCGTCAGGTATAATCTCGGTCGCGTTGGCTGACATTCATCTCTCCACGCGCAAAAGATGGAAAGAATCACTCCACCCGCCGACCGGCGTAACACTACGGGTGAAATTGACCTACCTATTCACGGTACTAATGGTATGACACATTTTCTTTACGAGGTACCTGCATATAGTCTCTGAATGTGCACATACTTCACAATTTCTTAGGGCCAGTGGGCATTAGTCTTCCAGGGAAACTGTTGCCCACGGATCAGCGGACTATCAACGCTTCTCATCAGCTCTCGGAGGAATTTCCATTCAACATCGATTATAATTCTGGACAAACAATTGGAATAGGTCAGCGGTTGATCCATCCTAGTTCCCTAGTCACACTGATACTGTTCCTCTATGTAATATTATTCATTGTGCTCGAAGGATGGACTCAAGCCACGGTACATTCAGCCGAAAAATGAATTAGTTATCGTCATATGTCTGACATATGCACCCTAGATAGCACATGGACAACGAGTAACGGCAGCTAGCGCGTATCTTGAGCCTGTCTTCACGAGGGAAAATCTCGATATCCTGGTCAACACCCAAGTCACCAGGATAATTCACACAGGCTCTCAATCCGGGACTCCAGTTATGGCAGGGGTCGAATTTGCTCAAGCATCATCACCCTGTGTGTACCTGATGCTCCACGTATCCCCTCTCATGGCATTGCAAGTGACGAACGACCTTGATTACTTCAGACGATATCTACAGTATGAATGCAACGAGAGAGGTAATACTTTCTGCTGGAGCGATCAAGACACCGCATCTTTGTATGTTTCACTGGTTACTCACGATGCACGCTGCTGATGTAATATTTACCCAGTAATGCTATCCGGTATCGGAGACGCTTCATACCTTTCTTCAATCGGTATAACAGCTACCATTGACCTCCCCGATGTGGGCGCTAACTTACAAGTATCCTCACCATCTTCACTGCTGTATTGGTCTACCAACTGAGCACACGAGTATCACTAGGATCACCCACTTACCACTATCTCATGGACGGTCAATTCATCGAACACGTTGGATAAAACAAGGATTGATACAACATTCGCTGACCAGCAGCTTCAGCAATGGAATCAGTCTCGCACAGGAGACCTCGTCATTGGCCCTGGAAACCAGCTTGGATGGCTGAGGCTACCGGAAAACTCCACAATCTTCGAGAATGTGACAGATCCAAGCGCGGGCCCTACTTCAGCACATTATGAATTTATTCCTACGGTACGTTCTTTGCCCATAGAATGAAGACATCACTAATTTGTTCACGATGTATGTGAACGATGTTGGCGCGAGCCCTCAAGGATAGTTTTGTTTCGTTCTCCCAACCGTTTCCGCAAGAGGGAAATTTCTTCACCATGTTCGTCAATCTCGTCTCACCCGCCTCTCGTACGTTATTCTCCTTTCCTACATCGTTCACAAAAAGCCTCATGTCTATACTTGTTTACGACTCTAGGTGGAAATATCTCTTTGGCTTCTACAGACCCGTTCGACCATCCCCTCATCAACTCCAATCTGCTGGATCCCGCAGAACCCTTCGATATTTTTTCCCTTCGCGAGGGTATCAAAGCTGCTAGAAGGTTCATGGCCGCACCGGCGTGGAACGGCTGGATTCTGAACGAGACCAGCCCATCAGCCGAGGCTCAGACGGACGAAGAGATCGAAGCGTTTGTGAGGCAGACCTGCTTTACAGTCAATCACGTTTCATGCACTGTTCCGATGGGCGGGAACGGAACAGGGAGGGGTAGCGGCGCTTTAGAATCTGATTTGAGGGTGAAAGGAACGGTGGGGCTCAGGGTTGTGGATGCCTCGGCATTTGTGAGTGTAAGGTTTGGTGAATCAAACTTCTGGATACTGATCGTAGCCGCTATGGCGTTGTTTACGCCCAGCCTTTTATACCAGCTGCGCACACCCAGGTACCCACCTATATTCTAGCAGAGCGGGCCGCAGAGATGATCAAAAATCACTACTCGGGTGCGTATTCTGTTACAGACTGTATTGAACATTTTCTAATGATGGCATAAAATAGCTCCTGGGTAATGACATTTAAAAAACGTGTTCATCGGCTCGACGGAGTCATCAAAAAATCAGGTTTGTGATGTCTCTCACGAGCAAGTCTGCACTGATATAATTCATATTTGTTATTTAAAAGCGGCGAACAAGCCGCTGGAATACAGCATCGGAACCACCGCGTTTTCCTTCTATTCAGCCTAGGACTCAGCCAGATTATGCGCGTTATCCTTTCCAGCCTCGTGATATACTCCAAGAACAATCGCACAGCCGCTGACTCAATATGGACGGGATGATGTCCTCGTGGTGCTAAAACACGATATTTGCCCCAGGCGCCAGTCACCGCAAAAGATCATACGCAGCGACGCATGCAATTATTTTGACCTGCATCAACATTAGAAAGGAGCTTAGTATCGTGGGACCCCATTTCCAATAGTCAACTGGCCATCTCATTCGCTGGACACCTGAACGGTGATTGGACTCGGGGGGCGAATGAACCGCTGGCGGTGATGCCACATGCGTCGCCGTCTGGCTCCTTGTTCCGGCCACAGCTGGGCCACACCATGGTGGATGCTCCGGCTCTCCTGTGTCGAGACCTTGGCTCTTTTGTGGACCTTGTGCTGGAGCTCTGACTCTGAAGCAATCGTTCAGTTGGCCGACGAGCGTAGCTCGGCAGCGGGTGGCCCGCAAGACCTCCGTGGAGGTTTCGACAACTGTGACAACAAAATGAACATGTCCGTCCGCCCTGCGAAGCACGGGCTTCCGCTAGTCAATATTAGAAAGGAGCTCAGTGTCACGGGACCCCATTTCCAATAGTCAATTGGGCCATCTCATTCGCTGGACACCTGAACGGTGATTGAACGACTCGGAGGGCGAATGAACCACTGGCGGCGATGCCACATGCGTCGCCGTCTGGCTCCTTGTTCCAGCCACAGCTGGGCCACACCATGGTCACGGTAGATGCTTCGGCTCTGAGTCACTTGTGTCGAGGCCTTTGTTCTTCAACGGACCTTGTGCTGGAGCTCTGACCCTGAAGCAATCGTTCAGTTCGCCGACGAGCGTAGCTCGGCAGCGGGTGGCCCGCAAGACCTCCGTGGAGGTTTCGACAACTGTGACAACAATGAACATGTCCGTTTGTTGCGAAACATGGGCTCCCGCTAGTAGGCCATAATGCAACGTACAGTGCAGCAGCCTGCGTTGTAGTATTTATGCATGAACCACGCATGGCTGCCCGCGAGGGTTCGTGTAGAATGCTCGGATCTGGTCATATATATTGAATACGAGGAGCATCCTGGTAGAAAGAGCATAAATCTATGCACGAGGTAACATCGCTACCTTCCCGTCCATATTCTGCGCATAATACTCGTTATTGATCTCGCTCGTCGGCGCCTCATTTTGCAACTGCAGTGTCGTATCCCTAACCTGCGTGGGCAACCCATATTCCAGATCCAAAAGACACGTCTGGCAAACGTTCTTGATCTGCGCACAGTTCTGGCGGACGACGGTGGGTTAATGCGGTCGAAACCATCATTAGACATCGGAGCCAAGACTTGGAAGGTTCATCGCTTTCAACAATCTTTGCCTATGGATGGGTAAATCGTATGGGCAGAAGTTGCCGATGTAAGCTATCGGCACTCGATTAGTGCTCATTCGTTCCTTGGGCGATCATTACATGGCCGTTTTCAATGTCCTTCAAATTCCACTGGTCTTATAGACGAAGCCAAAGAAACAAACTTTCACTAGCATCGAGGACGGCACCGTCACCGATAGTGCCCCTCATCGCTGGTATCCCCAAGATGGTCTACGTATGCATCCTGCATCTCGCGAACATCCTGCACTGTCATATATTGGCAGAGAGAGCGGAATGCACGCGGTACATTACGGCGATGGGGATATATCTAAGTGAGCTGATTCGGGCTGCGTAGACCCAGCTCGTCCGCACGCAGCGCACAACTGGGATTAAAAACGCAGGTCGACGGGCACACCCATCTCTCCTTTCGTGTATACGGAAGAATTTGATAGTAAGATAGCCGTCGGTGCGCAGGCAAGGCTCCAGTAGTCGTGTTAACGCAGAACTCTCCACACATCAAAATCAAGGCCACTTGACGGACTACCGGTTCAGCCATCGGGATCTGAGCTCTGACGCTCTAACGACTTGTCGCTTCTGTTATTTCCATGACGAAGTAAACACGAACGAAAACGAACGTATCTCGTCTTGACCGGAGGAAATAAAGGATGACGTACCGAATGGTGTTGATGAGATCGCTGTCAATGAGCCTAGGAAAGCATTAAGACGGCGTCAGCGAAGAGAGCTGGGACGTGAATGCTATAGACACGTATACAGGTTTAGAGGTTGAGCAGGGCATGTTGTTTTGAAGGGGAACTAGAGCGGCACGGCAGCGGAGAGGTGGAACTAGTTGATAGGCCTACCGGAAGACGTTTCGTCGCCGGCCTCGAGGGTTGAAGTTGGACGAATGGCAACAACTCGCGACGCGTTCGAGGTTGAACTTCCACGGCTATAGTACATCGATCTTTTGAGCGGTCGTGAGCGATCAGACTGGTGGATACAAAAAAGATGGTAAGAGGGAGTTTGAAACTGAGATACGCCGCGAGTGCCAAGTTTGCGAGTCGCAACCGTTTGTTTGTCGTTGTTATTTCTAGAGGCTCCCGGAATAAACGGTCCGCAACCTCCGCTGTCTCATCCAGCGTCGATATTGTTCGTCCATATGCGTCCAGCATGATACCGCGATAAGTACGCGAGCGTTTATGAGTCGGAAGGGAGAAATGTGCGAATGTAAGTCTAATATCCGTGCTACGCAAAGGTCAACTCGATCTGTCATCGGTCCTTGTATCCACGGTCTCGTCCTGATTGTGGCGTGAACCGCTATCGCGCAAAAGCATCAGAAATGTCGCGTTCAATATACGAAGACCAATAACCATCGTCGTAAATGGAATGCGGTGTAGCGATAAGAAAGAGAGGCACGAAAGGGGAAATCAGCAACTTGTGCACGTGGGCTAATTATAGCTGAGCGCGGAAAGCGTGAGCGTTGGCGAGATAAGCGCGTTCAAGTCGTGTTTGACGACGACGACGACTCCTCTCTCTGTTCTACTTCGTCTCTGGGCCTACTACTGCATATCTAGATAAAAGGCCCATCAAAATGGGGTTCGTGTGCAAGGGAAGTAGCCCTGTTGACTTAACCTCCGACTGCGTCCGGTCGTTCTGGTCGACTGTGCTCCCCGCCGTGCTCGTCGTCCTCTTCACGCTCTACCGCGTCCCTCTGCCCAGTCCAATTACCAAAGCCCTCGGCTTCGTCACATCTCCACTCACGCCGTTCCTGACCCTCGAAGAGGCCGAAGCTCTCGACGCCAGCGCGGACAAGGACGAAGGCAACACGACTCACACGACCACAAACGCAACTACAACAGGCATCCCGCTATGGCGCACGATCGTCCTCGTCTGGCTCGCACTCGCCGAAACACTCGTCTGGCTCTCCATCGCAGCCTTCTCCTCCTTCCTCTCCGCCTCCCACCCCATCCCTCCCTCCACACACCCTTCCGCCGCCCCTCCCAACGTCTTCGCACTCCTCGCGCTCCTCACATCTCTCTCCTGGCTCTACGCCACGATCCGGCCTATCGCCATCCCCTCCGCCACACTCCCGATTGATCTCCTCGCGCTGTATGTCGTGCACTTCGTGTTGCTGGTGTTGAAGGTCGGAGGCGCGGTGTATGATGTGAACGTGCTGGGCATCGGAGGTCCGAATGGGTTGGTGGTACTTGGGTGGGGAGCGGATGCGGTAGCGTTGGGGGTGTTGCTGTGTGTGCTTTGGTGGACTCCGTTGGGGATTCCGAGTGAGAGGGTGGATAAAAGCGAGATCGTGAGTGCTTTGTTTGGATAGGGGCTCATGTGGCGTTCTGACGGGTTGTGTGTAGGGCAAGTCGGTCTCGCCGGAGGATTATACGACATTGGGCGGTTGGACGACATTCTTCTGGATTTACCCTCTCATCAAACGCGTACGTCCTCCTCTCTTTCTTTTTGCACATTGTCTTATATGATTGCGGGTGTAGGGAACGAACGATACGCTGAACGAGACGGACGTATGGAACCTGAGCCCGACGATGCAGTCCCGACCGGTTTTCATGAAGTTTAGCGCTACCAAGTACACTTTTCCCCCTATTGCATATATGCTGTTGTTGATCTTACCTTGGATGGTTAGGCGGAATACACTCCTCCGTCGTCTTTGGGCTGCGAATTCTCTCGACCTTATGTACGTCCGCTCCCTTCTTCGCCCTTCTCACATGGCAACTGACGTCGGTTCAACGCATACATCCATCTCCTCTTCTCACTTTGACTTCGGATCAACGCATATATCCACCTATCCCTCACATGACGCATACATCCACGCCCTGTCCCGTATTTCCTCGCTCGCTCTCGCTCTCGCTCCTCCCCTCCACGACCCTCCAACGTTCAACCCTCAAAGCCTCGACTTCACCCTCACCTTCATCTCCGTCGTCTTCAACTACGCCTCCCCCTTCTTCCTCCGCCGTATCCTCGAGGCCATCGACGACCATACCGAGGCGGAGAGGCAGAAGAGGAGCCAGGCGTATGTGTATGCGGGTTTGGCGTTTTTATGTACTGTTGCGAAGGTGCGGTTTTTTTGTCTTTCGCACTTCCTATTCTCATCCTTCACATTGTTATTGTTATAAACTCGCACCTCCGATTCTATATCACCCCCTCGACGAACTTCCTCCCCTTTCTTTCTTCGCGCGCGGCCATTTCTCATCTCATCTCTTCTCTCTTCCCCCACATTTCACCAGGCCCAAGCAGACCTCCAACACCTCTGGTACGGCCGTCGCGCCTGCACCCACATCCGCACCGAACTCATGGCTTCCATCTACGACAAAGCGCTCAAACGGAAAGATTTTTCGGGTATCGTGGATCAGGATGCGTTGGCGAGTAAGGCGTTGGCGGCGGATGATGCGCGAGTTTTGCGTTCGGCTTCTACTACTGCCAATTCTGCGTCTGGTGTGGGAGCAGGTGGAAATGGGGGAGGTGGGGAAGGAAGAGGGGAAGGGAAGAAGATGAGTAAGGAGGAGAGGAAGAAGGCGGAGGATAAGAGGGATGAGAGTAAGGCGGGCGCGGACGTGGGGAAGATCGTGAATTTGATGGCGGGAGATGCGAATCGGGTGGGTTTTTATTTTTCTTTGCTTTGCTTTGTGGGTTATGCTTTGAGAGGTGTGGTTGACTTGCTGTTCGGGGGGTTGGCTTGCTTTACCGTGGTGTGCGGTGTGCGGTCGCTGTGGCTGTTCGTGTGGCGAGGTGGGGGATCTTGAGATTCCTTTTTTCTGGCGACGGTATATGGTCAGATGGAAACAGAACGAGGCGGGTGCGCTCGTTCGATGATCATGACGCCTCCTCAGACCTCGTTCGTTCCGAATGTTTTGACCTCTCTTCCGTCCTTCGTACGGGCCCCTCCCTCCGTATATCGAGCGAACGCTCTTCTTTCGCTGCGTTCCTGCGGGATTGTCTCGTCTATTAGTTTTCATTTCTGGCTCTTGTCAGCAGTGAGATTGAATGTCTCGATGGTCGCTGACCATGTTTGCTCTTCGATCTACAGTGCGCGATGATGATATCGGGGATATATTTCATCTATGGAGGTACGTTCCCGATCCCGATCTCAGTCTTCCTTTATCGTGGAGGGAAGGATGTGTGAGAAGGGAAAAGGGTTAAGTATAAGTGGATGCTGACTGGATGGATTGTTTCATAGCGCCGTTCGAGATCATTATCGCGAGTGTGTTTTTGTATCAGTGCGTTCCACCCTTTTTGAGTTTCAAATCTTTATCTTGCACACTGACGCGTTCGGCACCTCTTCTTTCAATACAGACTACTAGGCATATCCGCCTTCGCGGGCTTCATCGTCCTCCTCCTCGGCTGGCCGCTTAATTCGTTCATTGCGAGGAGGAGTATAAGGATTCAGAAGGGCGTGATGGCCGCGAGGGATAGGAGGATGGGGGTGTTGAATGAGTTGATTGGCGCGGTAAGTCGGACTTGTTTTGCGTTGTTTTGTTTCTTTTAGGGGGAAGGTGGGGCGGGGTTAGATAGGGAGTTGCGGAGGGGACATGCACACTTCGTGTCGCAGAGTCGAACGGGATCTGAGTGATACATATGCTGATTTTGCGCATGTAGGTCAAGTTCATCAAATTCTTCGCATGGGAGGATCGTTGGATCGAGCGTGCACTCGATGCGAGGGAAGCCGAGATGAAATGGATGATCAAAGGTTCGTCCCCTCTTCTTCTACCCAACCCACTTCCCTGACATTTTCTTCTTACAATGCATACCTTTTCCGTCAATATCGAATTATATATCCCAATACTGACCGTTATCGTTGTCTTTGTTCTGCGTATAGCCCGCGTGAACTCGGTCTTGTTCTCCGCATTGTGGACGACAGCGCCGATTTTGGTGTCTATTATCTCGTTTTGGGTGTATGTGATGAGGGGGAACGAGTTGACGGTTAGCGTTGCGTTTACGGTGCGTATTCTTCTTCCTTGCCGTCCACGTCTTCTTTATTTTCGTCCCTATTTTGTATCTTTTTCTTTCTCACCCGTTCTCGAGGCCCGAAATTTTTGTTACTTTCGAATCACACCTCGTTTATCTCGTCGTCCGTTCACTGAGGCTGGAACTCACTCGTGCTTGTTTGTGTTTCTGTAGGCTATCGCCCTGTTCAACATGATCCGTGCACCCCTCAACGTTATCCCGGCGTGGATCGTGCAGATACTGCAGGTATGTGCTTTCGGCTTCGCCCGAAATCTATACATAATCTCCTTCCTTGCACTCCTCGTCCCCATCTTCCACCTACTGTCCCACTTCGAACCGAAACTGACCTTCTCCTGATCTTCTTGTTTCGCTTGGTTTCATAATGTGGCGTGGCGTGGTGTGGCGACAAGACCGGCGTAGCACTCAACCGCATATCTGTCTATCTCAACGAAGACGAAGTAGACGAGCAAGTTTCGTCGCTTAAACGGACTCGATCTGGAGCCCCTTCATCGTCTTCTGCGGATGGTGAAGACACGGATAAAGAAGGTTTAGGTTTCAAAAACGCGTCGTTCAAGTGGAATGAGGTCGAAGAGAAGAAAAAGGATGATCCTAAAGATAAGGTGGTCAAGACGAACGGACATAATATTGGGACAAACGGCGCCCAACGAGGCTCGGAGGAGACAGATGCTACGCTTACGCTTCCTACCAGTTCCGCCGACACTAACGCCGGTACGAACGACGAGGAAGCGGCGGATAGGGAGAGTATAACGGGAAGCGGGAATGAGCATCGGTTCGAGTTGAGGGATTTGAATGTTATGTTTCCGGAGGGGGAGTTGACGGTGGTTACGGGGCCGACGGCGAGTGGGAAGACTGCACTGTTGGTACGTTCTTTTTATTGTTTCCTTGTTCGCTGGTTTCGCGTTGTTGAGATCGCAATGAGTGAATGTGCGATATTGACGAGCGCTTTGTTTTGTAGATGGCGCTGTTGGGCGAGATGACGATGCTGCCGACAAATCCTCCCGGGAAGTTGATCATGCATAAGGTTCGCCTTCTTCTTCCAATCTCCTCTCCGTCCCTTCGCTCATACCATCCCTACCCTCTCCCTCAGGACCCTCATGCCATCGACCCCGTCACTCACCTCACCCACACGATCTCCTACGCCGCCCAATCGCCCTGGCTGCGTCATCAGTCGATCAAAGAAAATATCTTGTTCGGGTATCCGTATGATGAGAAGAGGTACGAAGACGTCGTGGAGAGCTGTGCATTGGGTCCTGATCTGAAAATATTGGAAGATGGGGATGAGACGGAGATTGGTGCGAGGTGTGTTTCTTTTTTTCTGACGCTGTCTGACGAGATGGGACAAACGATGAGTGCTAAATGAAGACTTTTCATGATAATGCCGTAGGGGTGTGAGTCTCTCGGGTGGACAGAAGGCTAGGGTGGCGCTTGCGAGGGCAGTGTATGCACCAACGAAGTATGTGCTTTTGGACGATCCGTTGAGCGCTGTAGTACGTATGCTCCATCCCCGATACACTTGGTTCGTGCAACCAGTGTATCGATCAACGCTGACGCGCGTCAAACTTACAGGACAGTCACACCGCCCGCTTCCTATTCGAGAAGCTCCTCAAGGGCCCATTACTAGCCAATCGCACCGTCGTATGTATATACTTCCTACTCTACTTACCGTTTCCTACATATCATCCTCCGATTAACTATGTACCCTTCCCGACAGATCCTCGTAACCCATCACGTCGAACTTGTCCTCCCTGGCACACAATATCTCATCCGCATGCTCGATGGCCGCATCGACACACATGGTACGGTAGCTGCCCTTCGCGAACAAGGTATCCTTGAGGCTATTGAGCAGGAGAGCGAGGTGCAGGTCGTGCAGGAGGAGAAGGCTGTGGCGGAGGAGATGGGGATTGGGGAGAAGACTGCGGAGGAAGAAGCAATGGAGGGGGCTGTTGAAGGCGATGGCAACGACGAGGGAGAAGGAGAAAGTGACGCAGTGAAGAAGGCCAAGGGTAAGGGAGGCAAGAAACCGAGGAAGTTGGTCAAGGATGAGCAACGGCTGACGGGTGGGGTGAAGTGGCCGATATATAGGACTTATTTGAAGGCTTCGTGAGTTTTATCAATGGTATTAGGGGAGTGACGAGAATGCTGATCCGTGGCGATGTAGGTCGTATTGGACGTGGATTGGGTTGGCGTCGCTAATCGTGCTGGCACAGTTGCTGGGTGTTACCGAGAAGCTTTGGATCAAGGTATGTCCTCTGTCACGTCCTCGCCAGCGTGTACACAGTGATTGATGCAGTGTTGTCTAGTTTTGGGGCGAAGCATACGGCGATAATAGTGTCGTGGCTTCTACAACGACCTACTCATTCACTTCCTTCTCAACCGTTGAACATGAAAGCCTCTTCGGTGGTTCCCTCACCCCGCATTACCTTCCGCATGCAATCCACAGCTCTCATCATATCCCGCATGTCTACACCTTCAGCCCTTTCAACTTCTCCGACACACTCAAGGTGCCGAACACCACCACCGCCTCTCCCTACACTCCCACTTCTCAGATCGTCCTCACAAACGTCCAACCCTCTATCCTACCCAGCGCAAAGGAACACCCCCTTTTCTATATCGGTGTCTATGCGGGTATCGGGTTCTTGACGGCGTTGGTCAGTATTCTGTCGGTGGTGACGCAGTACACAGGAGCTTTGAGAGCCAGTAGAGTGCTGTTCAGGAAGTTGTTGGAGACAGTGGTTAGGGCGACTATGAGGTGGCATGATACGACGCCGCAGGGTACGTTGTACTCGAGTCTGTGGGATGAGCTTGATCTAATTTATGTCCGTCCTGTGTAGGTCGAATGTTGAATAGGTTCAGTAAGGTAAGAGATGGTTTCTCTTACTAGCTCAATATGCTCAATGCTCATCGGGTCAAAATTATACAGGATGTCGAGACGGTCGACTCGTCCCTAGCAGGTTCGCTCCAGGCCGTCAATACCTCCCTCGCCACATTTGCGGCCTCGGTTCTCACAGTGGCGTAAGTGACTCTTCTCTATGTTCCTTTCCGACTGATTGCTTATATCCTGTTCGAGTGTTTAGTTTCATTTTCCCCCTCTTCCTCATCCCCGCCTCAATAATTGGTCTTGCCTACCGCCAATTCGCCATAGGGTATCTCAACACCGGCCGTGATCTCCGTCGCATGGAGTCTAACACTCGTTCGCCCATCTTTTCCGGGTTCGGAGAGTTGTTGGAGGGGATTGTTACCGTGAGGGCGTTCTCTGCGGAACAGAAGTTCTTAGATGGGTTGCACCAGAAGATCGACCAGACTACGAAGGTAGGCGTCTCTATTCATTCTTCTCCCGAGCACTCGACTCACCGACGAATACTTGCCGAACATAGATGTGGTACAGCTTCTGGATGACGAACCGCTGGCTGCTCCTGAATTTCGATTGCCTCGGTGCCGTTGCCGTGCTCATCACGACGCTCTTCGCGCTTTCGGGTTTCGTGAGCGCGGGAACTGCGGGTATGTGTATCACTTCGGCGATGGCATTCACGACCAGTATATACTGGGCCTGTCGGTTCTGGACAGCGCTCGAGCTCGATCTCAAGTACGCTTACCTCCACATCCATACCTCCTTCCCCTTGTCCCCATTCATATGTCGCATGATGCTCACGTTATTCAAATCGCTGGACGTACAGCTCCGTTGAACGTGTGGTCGAATACCTCGACCTTCCACAAGAACCTCCCGCAATCATCGAAAACAACCGCCCGCCCGCCTACTGGCCGTCCTCTGAAGGCGAAAACTTGATCGTAGTGGAGAACCTCGACATCAAGTACGCACCAGAGTTGCCGCCCGTGTTGCATGACGTGTCGTTCTCGCTCAAGGCGAAGGAAAGGATTGGGCTTTTGGGAAGGACAGGGTCGGGGAAATCGACGCTAGCAATGAGTATTCTGAGATTCGTGAGTACCCTGGTCCATTTAGTAAGGGGCGAAGGTTCAGGTGTTAATGTCGTGTCCCTGGGTGGCTGCCTCGGTTGTGTTTCAGGTCGATCCTGCGGGCGGAAGAATTTTGGTGGGTGGGATTGATATCTCGACGATTGGGTTGCATGATTTGAGATCGAGGATTGTGAGTGGCGTTTGTGATGGCACGCTTTGTGGCGACTAATATATGTTCTGCAGACATTCATTCCACAAGATGCTACACTTTTCTCGGGAACGCTGAGGGAGAACCTTGATCCGTTTAGTACGTACCCCCACACCCTGAACGCAAACAATATCTGACTGCCTTCATAGACGAACATGACGATTTGGAATGCCTGGACGTCTTGTATCGCGTCCAAATGCTTACCGAAAATGCCTACGAATCTCAACGCACCTCTCGTCAAGCCTCGCGCGCCAATACGAGGCCGTCCTCTCCCTCACATCCTGATCGCCCCTCCTCAGCTACGTCGTCGTCATCTCCTACTGTCGGTGCTCCTTCTGTCACCGAAGTCGAGAGCCGCGCACCGATCACGTTGGACACGCAAGTTTCTCCCGGAGGAATCAACTTCTCGCAGGGTCAAAGGCAGTTGATCGCAATGGCCCGAGCCCTCCTCCGTCGTTCAGCCATAATAGTTCTCGACGAAGCCACGAGCTCGATTGATTTCGCCACGGACGCGAAGATCCAGGCAACGATCCGGGAAGAGTTCGGCGGGTCGTTGTTATTGACCGTAGCCCATCGTCTGAGGACAGTGATTGATTACGATAGGTTGATTGTGTTGGAGAAGGGAGCTGTGGCGGAGTTTGATACGCCGGCGAAGTTGTTGGAGAAGAAGGATGGGATATTCAGGACAATGTGTTTGAAGAGTGGAATGTTCGCGGAGTTAGAGGCGGCAGCGAAGGAGAAGGCAGCTAGGGAAGGCAGCTAGGGATATTCCCGCGTAGCGGCAATATATAGATATTGGCCCCACAAGACTGTATGCCCTTTATGTCCTCTCGCTTCTTATAACTCCTCCAATAGTGTCACTGACTTTTCTTACGATATAAAATCAATCATTGTGTTGTCTATTGATCTCATACGGTTTTATTTCTTTGATTATGACCCCACAGACAAGAAAATATGTTTGTCTTCTGAGCCCCATCCGTGGATGTATTTCGGGGGTACCGTCACTACCGGAAAGCAGGTACCAAATCTTAGTTATAATCTCGGGTGCATCTTCACTGCGTAAAATGAATGGAGCCAAGGCCCGAACCCATCGTCGGAATCAATCGACAGCAGGACAGAAAATGATCACTATGCATTCTACAATTCGCCGTGCCCGCTAGAGTGATCCATGCTTGCCTTGGAAGTCTCGCTTGTCAGCATTTGAGCCTTGAAGATTTTTGAACCCTAGGAGCTCTTTTTGTGACCCAAGCATCTCCTGGACACTTGCGGTAAATCGCAGCCTGACTTTGTCACACGGGCCATTGTCACACACATCCGGCCCTCTCTGAAATCGGGCTTTCTTCTCTTATTTTGCCCTAACCACATGTACACCAGCGGCATCTTTCACGGTCCTCGACGCTCCCGGGCTCATATCGTACGCATGCTATCTTCAGCATTTCTAACATGGTCGCTCATCATGCCGCAGGACCCCCGGTTATAGAGGGCGAGGACGTCCACTGATCCGGACAAATTTTGGCCAGTTGGGGGTGGAAGGCCGTCCGCAGGACGGACAAATTTTGGGCACTTTGGGGGGTAGGCCGTCCGCCAGTCCGGACAAAAACCCGCCGCAGGCGGGCGCCCTGCGGTGTGGCATCAGCCCCAGCTTGGGTGGCGACGCCCTGTTCGGATACTGTCGGTCTGCGACGGGCATAATGCACCATGGTGCGCTTGGGCCCGTTCCCGATGCGATACGGCCCCGACCGACGACCTGAGGGCACCTACGGGACGCCCTCGATGGGGGCGGTCGCCCCGTACAAAAAAAACCGCACGTCGATAGGAAGAAAATCGAAGGGGGGCCGTTTAGGCTGGGGGGCGCCGTTTCCGCCAAAAAGTCGAATTCTCGACGAGAAAAGGCCGCGCGGACCCCCAACTCGTCGCAGACACACTCTATGGAGTGCAACGAGTGCCGAAACGCAAAAAAAAGAGAGGTC